AGGTGTGAAATGTGATAAACAAAAATTTCAATTTATGTTTGAAGAAGTGAAGTATGTGGGACATATTTTTAGTCAAAATGGTGTGAAAATTGATAATGCAAAGATTAGGGCTATTAATGACCTTAAAGCTCCTTCTAATAAAAAAGAGTGTCAAATCGGGGCTAGTGAATTATGTTAGAAAATTTATTCCAAAATTAAGTGAAATTTCCAAGGTGGCGACTCGTACTAACCCATCGCCGCCAGGTTGCACTTGAATAATTCTTGCTAGCGGCCATCTGGCTGGATTTATATATTGTCTTCTTTTATCAAGACTATTTTGCCTTTTTCAAGAGTTTCTTGTTGTTCTTTCCATTTATAACGTAACTGTAGCCTCTGTAGGTATTCTATTGTCTGACCACGCTTTCCAAAAACCTCTTCTCATTTTTTGACCCACTCTCCACTGTTTTCGCTTAACACAGTGAGGCGGCGAGAATTCAAACATGCCTCTATTTGATGTGCTAGCGTGAATAGTTCTTCATATATGTCAATGTTACTTCTCCGATGATTCTTTTCAGATGATGCTTTATGGATTTAACACCTGACTCCCAGAGCCCTTCAAAATATGAAAATGCTGGTGGAATAAAGTGCCATTTTGTACCTTAGGTGTTGATGGTGTTCTGTAATTCTGGTGATTTCATTAATTTTAATATTTTAAAAAGTTTACTTTCGACCCGTGGGCCGAAAGTAAAAGTCAAAAAATACAATAAATTTTAAAAATTTCATTCACTTTCGGCCCACGGGTCGAAAGTAAACTTTCGACCCGTGGGCCGAAAGTAAAAGTCAAAAAAGTGACATTTTCGAACTTTTTAAAAGTCAGTAAAGTCAACATTACATGTATGATTGTAAATAAAAGTGTTTGCAGTATTGTTATTCATTGATTCCTTAGCAACTATTGAAACATAATTGAAATACCAGAATATTGAGTTTTGCGACCTGTCAACCGGTCAAAAATGCTGACATTTCTTGTCAATCGCAGAAAAATTCAATTAATGAGAAAATTTGGTCCAAAATCCCTTTTTAGGGCGAAGAAAAAAAATTAAATTCTTCAAGAGACCTTTTCCCTAAAGCAAGCAAAACGTGAAAGAGAGAATTCCCACAAATCATTAAATAACTGTCCTGAACTGTCCTAGATTTGAAGGATGGACAAGTGGCAGAATTATGACATACGTCAAAAATTTATCGATACTATTGATTCGATAGTATTCCCACGCACCAAAAATTGCACACAACAACATAATCAGAGAAAAATTATAACAGCTGACGACCAATGATAATAACAACAAGTAATTATCCAATAGAACAATCATAATTTGAAAAATAGGCCATGGAGTAAAATAGGGAGCGAACGAAGCAATCCGGTGGTGTATGGAACCAATGATTGAACCGGGTGCAGAACTAGAACTGGCACTGAGATCAGTAGTCGAACAGAGTAGTTCGGTACATACACTTTGAAAACGGATTATCCGAATGTGGCTAAATTCAGCTGGTGTAGGCACCGTGGTGGGATTGTAGAAAGAGCAATGCTGTTAAATTAAACAGGGTTTGACAAGCTGTGGTTTGGCATTGGCCGTAGTGAATTTTAATCACCGCATCCAGGGCGGTGCACCATTTTGATGAATTTAGCCACACGCAGTATACGGTTGGGAAACATAACCCCCAGAGAAATATTTTTGACAAATGGATATTTGTTTGTTTATTATGAAAATCAGATTTGAGATGGAATTTAAAATATGGATTAAAGTCGAGGAAAAACATTAGTCATTACAACTATACTTTATTTTTTTCCAAAATAGATTTTGACATTGTCAACTTTGAAACATAAACAATGCCGCTAATGCAACTTATTGGCCGCTATTGTAAAACTGATGTCAACCTGCAGAAACACCTCATTTTGCGACCAATCAGTGTCAAGCATTATTGTTTATGTTTCAAAGTTTTCAATGTCAAAATCTATCTTGGGAAAAAATAAAGTATAGTAACAAATGAAAATAGAATTTAAATATTGAAAATTAGAAAATTAATAGGATCTGCAACTGCTGTAAGTATTGTTGGAATTTTATAGAGAAAAAAGGTAAACAAAATTGAAGAAATCTTAAATGGGAAAACTGAAATAAGTATGAATTAGTTATAGGCAATTTTGGCTCGTTATACGAGGCAGTTCTGATATAGCTTGTGATCTCATGCCGTTTTGATTCTGTCGTCTGTTGCTAGAAATTGACTGCACTTCCAGATAGCATAGTCTCTACTACAGAGTCTACAAGTAATCTTCTCTAGCTGTTTTGCGGTCTAGATTGCTTCGAGTGACTGAAATCTATTTTTCAAAAATTCAATGATGTCTTCAATTGGAGGTACCTTCAGTGGGTCTTCGATACTCTGCTCAAAGATCTTGTTAGTTTCTGAGTCCCATTTTCTGCATATTAATCTTCCAATCATTGGATCCCAAATTTCTGTGTTGTAGCGTAGACTGGCTCTTGAAGCGTTCCTGTTATGACGTCGTGTAGTTTTTTGAGTTTCTGTGCCGACTTAAACTGAATTACTGGAAAATCGAACATCTTGTCTATGAGTTTTGCTATTATGAGACAATTGTTCTGATATCTGGCAGTAGCTTCCATGCTGTATCAAAGTTTCCATCTGTAGCTGATAAATGTTTTAGTTTTATAATATTGTCAACGGAGGGGATCAGTTAAACATCGATTAGCATTCAACGTATCATTAGCATTAAAACCGACATTCCTAAGTAGCGTCAAAAGTGTGGCCCTATTCACGAAAGAGCATGCATTTTGGAGGATTTATGTAAGTAATAAGTTCATATAGCTAATATACATATTTTAATAATAACCCGACCGAGTTTCTCTCCATCTATCTACCCTACACCCCCAGTCACAGAGAGGTTGTGACATTTGATGGAGGCGTCGTCTCGAACCCGACGCCCAAAAACGGATGCCGTTAGGCGCCTTTGAAGCAAGCCAACGCCCACACCACGGCACGACCCGGTTACCCTAAGAGAGAAGATTTCCGACACCGTGGCAAAGGTGCAAAATTGCTAAGGAAATATATGAACATCTTGCCGGTGAGGAGAAGATTAAAGAAAAGTCATTCTTGATAAGAGACAGCAGTAGAAAATATACGAAAAAGACAAGGAAAAGATAAGGGACGTTTTGACGAACGACACTGAGAATTAGATGTCGTAGTTGGAGCAAAGTTAAGGTGATCATACCAATTGGGAGAGTTGGAAGAAGTGAAAAGTTACTCTTTAAATGGTTTGGACCATTCAAAGTAATTAGAAAAATGGGAGAAGTGAATTACGAAGTAGAAAAGATTGGAAGCAGAAAGAAGGGTACGGTCCAGTGAGTAGGCTGTTACCCTACTACGATCCATGGACAGAAGCTGCGCCTATTGATGAAAGGGCAGAGGAGACAGATATTGCTGAAGACGCAGAATCTGGGGTTGACGGAGAACCAGAGAATGAAGAGGACGAAAAAAAAATTGAAGAGAAAAATGGAATCAGTGAAGCAGAAAACGGGGTAGAAGAAGACTGATTGTACAGATAAAACATAAGCAAAACTATGAAGTAGGGAAATAGGAAGTAGAGATAGGATAAAAAATAGAGTAAGACATTAAATAGAGTATTATAAGGAGGGATGGAGAGGAACGACAGCTCAATATAAGAGGAAATTAGTGGTACCAAAAAAAAGAGCGGGAGCTACAAAAGGAAAGCATACCTATGGGTATACAAAAAACAAGTTGGACTTGGAGCCATGATCAACAAATGTGAGTCATAATTGAACTAATTAAAGGAGTAAGTATTTTTTTTCAAATTTTAAACATTTACTTTTTGCATGTATATCACAAAACTTCAACCAGGGACGGACATAGCAAAGCCGAAATCAGAACTGGAAGGATAACTGGTACCTTGCGATAGCTCTGAACTCAGTAGGGGCTCATGTCTGCATCAATAAACAAGAAGCATAACAAATTAGAAAACGACACTTAGACCGTGGAACCGATATCACCTAACGATCTAGCTGATCCACCAGGATGAATTACTTGGAACCAGAACCAATCCACTTAAGAGACAGAATACAGGACAATGAATAAGAAGTATAACAAACCATCAGGAACATTTTAGTACTAAGGTAGAGTACTACAATTCCTGAAAATTTCAGCTCATTAGGACTTATAATATCCAATCATGTAACTTTAGCGTAAAATGTTCAATGCGTTCAAAAAATGAATAATAGCCTTTATTAATAGTCCATCGAATACTTTTTAATTATTTGTTCAAATATCAATCATTCTCGTTGCTGGCATTGCCTTTTTTTATTTGCTCCGCTTTTCTTTAGGAAAATTTACTTATTATTTCAGTTGTTTGTTTGAACTAAAAATTACTCGATCACTTTGTTGTTATCTACAAGGCAACAATTTCCGTTATCATGCTAGAAACAAAGACATTATCAAATCGTTCTACATAATAGATTCATATCGGACTAGTAGCGATATGAAATCAGCACGCAGTGATTGGTAAAATAAACAGCCGAAAGATATATTTTATGTAACAATCAAATCGTAATTGTAGAGTCGATGCCCAAATTGTCAATTGGGCCCCAATAATGCAAATTTCTCCCTACCGTAGGCAAAGCTTCATATTTGCATAGAGCTCTGTATGTGTTTGTTCATGGCAATAATTGCCTGTTTCAACAAAATATTGCTCGATGTGGGCCAATCAACGGAGATACTGGATGGTATATGTATATATGGTATATATTGTCCGAAGGGTATTATTTGAAAAAAATATATATATATCTGTACATACTAATACAAATTTTCGAAACGATTATTGTATACATAACGTGTTCCTAGTTTCATTTAGTTTTTACTCTATGATGAATGAATTTTTGGGTTTGTGTCTACCAGCAGAAAAGTGGAAGCTACAGATAATATTCCAAAAATAAAACAATTCCTGCATCAAAAATAAAAATTATTTATTAGGATTATTTACAATTTACATTATTGAATGATCAGTCTCTAATAAAATAGTGCTATGTATAGTGTTGTACATAAAAGAAGAACATTTATGCTGAAGAGATCGGTGAACTTTTTGGTTGAATGTGAAGAAATTGGAAAATCTCTTTGCATAGCTTCTGAAGATTCAGCTAAAACAAATTAAAACAATTTCTCAAGTTACTGCTAAATTTAATTTTAATTAGCAAGAAAATGAATAACTGGCAAATTTGACTCATCACTTATAAAAAATCAATTCTCATGGGCTCAAATCCTAAACAAACCCTAACCCCTCTAATCCTTATTATTTGACTTGAAGAGTGGAAAGAAGACAAGAGAAAAAACTTTCGTTGTCAAATAACGTTAACTTTAAAACATTATTATATACCTTCTACTATAACCAATTTCAAGCTATCCTTCTTAACTGACGGTTGAAGGCAAGTATACAGTCCAACATCTTGCCATGTAACATATTCAAAGCTCAGTATACTATGAATCTGATTTTTATTCTTGTCATAAGCTGTCTGGATTGAAATTCTGGACTCCTTTGGCTACAAACAATTAATACAAATTAATGGATTGTTATAAATATGGTCAAACATTTTCACCTGAAATAATATCTGTGTATCTTCATGTAACCACCAGGCGTCCAAATTGATATTCCTAGTGAAAATTGGAGTTATCATGCAGCTGACATGAAATGGCGTTCCATGCTGTACGAAAACTTCCTTGGGCCCATCAATTTTGGAATATCCTAACCATTTTGAGTTGTCGTCAGAACCCAAACCTACAAAACATAACAAAATTTGAGACCATCAACAACAAAGTAAACTATTTAAGCTCGCATAAAATTTTACGGCCGATAATTACACACTGAAATGTTACGAGTGTTTGTGAGTTTTATCGATTTTAAATAAACACTGGTGGATCTATGCAAAGGTAATAAAATTGGACGTTTATTTGCCGTTTAGGCTACTTAAATTCACATTTATGTTTTCTTTTAAAGCATTGTTAAATGCCGAACAGCTTAACACTTGTACACCACGCCGTAAAATAGCTATTAAATCCAATTTCAATTTATGTTTTCTCTTCAAAGATTACTAAAAATAAGATGGGCTGGGGCATTATACCACATTTTTCATATTCTGAAGTTGAAATCTGAAGTTGATGGCCTTAATAATAGAAGTAACCTTTATAGAGATCCTCGAAATCAAAAATAGAAAAAAAAAACTTATCTCTTTCCATTTAATTACTTCTATACGAAATTTCTTTCTCGACCAAGGAAACCGCGCCGACAAAAAATCCAATTAGTTTTTCAATAATTAGATCTGGAAACCCTTCGAGGATATGTCCAATTTAATCGTCAAATTCCCCACGAGGGCCGTTCCGGTTGTTATTTTGTACCCTTATAACTCAAAAAGTCACCTCTGATATATGAAGGAAAAGAGTTGGATATATACTAACCTGTTCGATCTTAATAAATTTTATATAACAACTTACTAGATACGGTCAATTTGAATGCCAAACTCATTTTGGGCTCGGTATTAACTTGACATTCGTATTGTCCGGTATCGTCAGCTTTGACCCCGCGTATCCTCAAACCCCAAAAATCTATATTTCTATCATTGTGCACTACTTCGAATCTGTAGTCGCTGGAAAATATGTGAGGACCTGAACTTAGTATATGTATATCCTTGGAGCGTATCCATGAAACCTGGAAATAGATGTGATCATTGTCAGTTAGTAAATGGATTGATAGCTTACCACTTTTTCCCTACTTAAATTTGTAACTGTACATGGAATGATTACAGTTTGGCCTTCTATGGCTTCTATGTCTCTTTTGTAAATTTCGTCAAAGTAAGGGGCAGTAGGATAGATGGATTTGATCATTTCTCGATTGCTTAGCTCGGGACTTAGTTGGTGTGGAGGTGATTTTAATGCAGATCCTGGAAAAAGAACGTTTATTTAATAATCAGTATGGGTTTTCACATGTTTGGAGTTGTTCTCTGGTGATGCAATAATTATTATAAACATTAAAAATAATTTGATTCATTATAATTCTGGGGCGCAATTATTATTATAGCTGACTTAAAATATTGGTTGACTGACAATTGTCTACCGCTAATATAGACTTGGGCCTTTCGAAGTTCATTTTCCATTACGTTCTAATAGACATAGAGGAGAATGTTCTGAATTTTTTCCCATATATTTGACTTTGTCCATGGTGTTTGGTTTGGTAGCGTCAACCTTATCCGTAAAATAGCCAGACATTAACAGAAGAAACTCATGGACAGTTAAATCTAATGACCTAAGAGGCTAATCCAATTCACTGATATGGGAGATTAAATGTCCTGGAAAAGTTGTTCTTGAGATCTCGAGCCTCTTCACTTAGCATGAGTTTTTCAATGAAACGATCATTTCCTACACCAACTTCCAGTATTTCCTACTCACATTTTTTATGGTTTCTAGGGTGCTCGTTACTGGAGAGCGACATCTTGTAGAGGGGCTGGGATCATCCAGCATGCTCTGACAAACACCAGTAGCACCAGTATTTCGTATACTCTTCACACAAAAAGTCGCAAAAAATTTCGTACAAGATTTGGTCCCATTTAAAGGTTAAGAATTAAATGCTCTACAACATATCAGAAAATGGACAAAATCCATAGAGCGCAAGTATCCCATGTTAGCTATGCTTTTTCAGAACAAAATCAGATACTATGACACAGTTCTTGTAGAAATAATCAATTTGTGTGAGCCGACCATTTTTGTTCAGCCATTATATTGTCATTTCAACTCGTCAATCAATTACCCTTATCAGTTGATTGAACCTTGCTTTTAATTAAAAAGGTTGTTCAACAATTTTCGCCCTATTTGCTTGACTGTCCTGCAGACCTCTGAAAGTTAACAGGTTATGGGCCAAGATATCGCGGCGTAACCCCCGTGAAGTGCTGCAGGTAAAAGTTTAAAGTAATGTAGTATAACATACCGGGGATCGTTCAGTAAGATTGAACGATGATAATTTTTATTACCTTTTAAACAACAAAGCTTCTGAAAAACGGAATGAAGAAAAAAATAGGACCTACGTTGTGGAAACTTCCTCAATTTTACTTACTGGGCATGCGCCGACTTAGCAAATATTTGGGAAATTTGAGGGAAGTGGTGATAGGTAAAAGAAACGAAAAATTTGTGAAACGTCTACTTTATTATTAAAGTAAATCGTAACGTTCTCATCCTGGAACTAACGAGGGGAAAGAGCACGGCACAGAAACCCTCGATCTAACATTCCTTAAAAATCGAAACATACTGTGTCATTTTAATAATAATTGTGAGTCATTAATTCAATAATTTTAGTCAATAAAAGTTTAAATTAGGTACCGTCCTTGGCCTTTGTGCTAAAATTTTAATTACACACATAGCATTCAATCAACACTACTTATATTCAATACTGAAGAGTTTTTGGTTAGTTAGCAGGTTTCCCAGCAGATACTGCGGTCCCATACGGGAAGCTACTCAGCTATAGTTGTTTGTGAGCCAATATATCTAGATTGATTATTTCAATTTGCTAGGCTATTCTCTCGTCAGGTTAGGAAAATGTTAGTAAATTCAATTAGGCCCTGATGCACGCTCTAAATCCACAAAATCAAAATCTCAGCACAAAAAGACAGCACATAATTTCTTAGGTTCTCATTTACTTCTTTATCAGTGTTGTTTACAGTATGAAACGATTTTTGTTAAATACCTGAACAATGCACAATGCAATGTTATAAAAAATATTATAAACAAACAAAAAATACATAAAAATTATCAAAATAATAGGAACTTGCATAGATTGAACTCTCAAAAACAAAATAACGTTTAATCCACTAACCTGTGAACGCTCCTTACACACACACTAATAACAAATTGGATTGAACAATCAATTTTAATGACTGGTTTATACTTCCAAAATTAAGAATTAAACTAAACTAAAAAATAAATTGAAAATTAAATTAAACTAAACTTTGGTTCAACTTAGTTTATACCTAAAATAAGGAATTAAGGATTTTATGAAATTAGCGAGCTCTTCACGTTATCACAAATGACATAAATGAACATGGAAATAAACAAAAACCAGCTAGAGTGACAACAAACATATTGACATTTAGCAGATCTTCTTAATTCTTAATTCTTAGTTGAAAGTTAGCCAACTTTTAATTTAATTTAGTTTAAGTTAATTTTTTAATTTGAGGTATAAACAACAGCATCAAATTATGGAGATTTAACATTTAAATTTTTAGTTTAGTTTAATTCTCAATTTAGTTTAATTCTTAATTCAGAAGTATAAACCAGGCATAATGTAAAATAGAAATGAAAATTGAATAATGAATAATTACAGACACGCAACACGTTTTCTAAAGTCCAGCTCGTGAATGAGAGAGAAATGAGATACAAGAACAAAATGAATGGCAATATGCTGAAAAAATCCCACAGATAGAAAATGACAACCCGATCAGGGAAAGAAGACTAATCGAAAGTTGGATGATTATGAACTCTATGGTGACTTAGACGAAAGCTTGATGGCAGCTTCATTCATTGTAAATCTGGACAGCGACATACCCCAAACTTACTCTGAAGCTATATCAAGAGGAAAAGGGTAGAAAGAAGCCATAGATAAAGAGTTGAGTGCATTGAGTGAGAAAGAAACTTGAAAAATTGTTCCGTGTCCAATAGGTGTCAATGTAATGGATTCGAAGTGAGTATTTCGCAAAAAGGAAGATTGTGATGGTGAAGTTGTTTAAAAAGCACTATTAGTGACACGTGGTTTCAAACAATGAAAATCCAGTGAGCTTAACTTCGGAGTATGTTTCTCGGTTGCGCGTATGACTATTAGAATGTTGTTTTCTTTATCAGTGAAAAAAAAAATAACTAGATACGATGATTTGCCAGAAAGTGTGTACATGGAAAAACCTGAAGGACTAGAATGTGAAAACATGTTCTCAAACTATAAGTAAGTTTGTCAGTTGAAGAAATCACTTTACGGTTTGCGGTAAGCACCAAAATGTTGGTACGAGAAGTTGCATAATTTTCGACTAGGCCTACTCGTGAACCTCGATAATAATACAGTCTCTAAAACTAGAGGAAGGGGACTTTGTTAGCCACATGAGCATCATGAAAGGATGCATAAATGTGACCACAAAACCAGTTTACTACATGCAACACAGGTACATATTTGAACACTTCTTTAAAGTGACTATTGAAGCCGTAAAGGAGAAAATAACGTACCTGTATTCCCGAACGAATCATCTGTCTGGTATACAGTCGGATCGAAAACAGAGCAAGGGACTGGAGCAGGGCTATACAGCCCGCTTTGAAGACTATCAACATTCAATATCCTATCGCAGTGTTGCGGTAGAAAGTGTCTTGAAAGAAACATGCGAAGAGCGAAGATCTATATCAATTGCGACAGTCGGGCAGCACTAAGAGCTTAAGAACTCCGAGTAGCTCTGTCAAAAAGTCCAGACTGGTATCGGACAGCCAATAACTCCTGAAGCAATTGGCGTCTCCGTCATGGGTACCAGGACACTAAAGAGTCAAGAGGAACAAAGAGCTGCAACACGATTCCTTGGACCAAAATCTTTCTTTGGCACTACGAAAAGGGATATGGAAAGGGGGCTGAAACACATTTCGAGGACTTAGCAATCGAGGCGAAGAATTATCCATTTGGAGCAGCCTTATTTAACAGCTGCGGATGTGAAAGCAGCCAATCCTAGTAACATTACGACTTTGCTAAAAGCCCTAATCTGGGAACCCACTAGATATAAGGGGAAGCACAATAGATCTAATCAGGTTGCAGTGCGAAGAGGTTAATAACCTAGACAGTCCAACTATCACAATCTACAATCTACAATGACACTGTTCTATAATGACGGAGAGTTGAGGCAAGAAAAAAATTGCGTTGGGGTTTGAAAATCGAACTATGGAATACCTTGGGTGTAAGGTGTGACGAAAGATACTAGATACTGCTAAGCTTTATTGTCAAATATTTGACTAGGTGAATTGGTACTGATGGTTGCATTGAAGATTATGATAGTAGAATGTTCAGTTATTCTACTAAAAATTCCAGAAACCTACAAAAGAAAATATATGTCTTGAGAAAAGTCTAACCAAATTAAATTTTCAAATTCCTCAGTAGCATTCTGACATTGACTCCACAGACCATTTTCTCTTTTTATATCGTCTCTAAGCGCCACACGTTATGCCCCAACGACTTGGAAAGTTACAGTTTTTGAACTCAAACACACTGCGAGCATTTATTAAAAGCGACACGTGAACATCTTAATCCTAATTATTCCGGCGCGCCAGAGTCTTGATTGGTCGAACAAGTGTTCAACGCAGACGACCTTTTGTGTCTCTCCGTAATCGCCTCGGTAATCACACTTTTCAGACGTTTCGAATAATCTGGCATCGGGCCCAGAATCAGGATAGTGTGAGTAAGTTATAGTAAATTATTTGTAATGTGCTTTTGTTTTGGACTGGTCCAGTTGCGTTTGTTGGCATTTTCTATGTAACAGATGACTGAAGTTTTAGTAGAATAAGCTTTTAGGAATAAATGGCCAAACAGATGTTGAAGTATTTATTTTCAATTTCTATACTCTATATGTAAAATTGGAGGAAGTAATAGTTTTAATATTTTAGCAAATTTCCTTGAGTAACCATACTGACGTTAAAACAAACTCTATATTGCGTCAAGTTTGTAAAGAAATTTCACGCACACAAGAAAATGTGAACACGCAAATATTGCTTGTTGCGTGCATGACGGAAGGGTATTAGTAAAAAAGATTAAATCGAAAGTCACATAGCAAAATCGAGAACTGGCATAAGAAATGTGTACTTTGAAAGGTTTTCCATAGGCGAGAGTTTTTCTTTGTGTGTTTCTTTGAAATTATTATTATATTTCTTAGAGCTT